TTTGCTTCAACTGGTGTCATGAAGCATGCTTTTTTTTTGTTTTTGTAAATAGACCTGAGTGAGAGAGAGAGATACACCTCCTGTACTTAGGGCTTTAATGTATCCATACAAACGTTGAAGAAACTTTTCTTTCACGCTGAAGGATAGTGAGGGAACATTTGCTGATGTTTTACACCTGAAATGGATATTCTTCACATGCCAGGGACATTCACCACTGTTGTAGACCAGAAATGGACATTCGCCACTGTGATAGACTGAAATTGGACATTCGCCACTGGGCCTATGGACATTCGCCATTGTGTTGGAATGTCTTGTGGACATTCGCCATTGTGTCAGAATGTCTTGTGGACATTCGCCATTGTGTTGGAATGTCTTGTGGACATTCGCCATTGTGTCAGAATCTCTTGTGGGCATTCGTCTCTCTGCAGGATTATCCCAGGACGTTCGTCTTTTAGTCATCTCACACTGTGTGCTTGGAATGGCGAATGTCCATCTATCTCTCTTAATATTAAAACTAGAGCTCTCCTTTTTTTTTTTATCATGTGGGATTATTAAAAAGGAATAAAATAGAGAAACATGTGCACAATTTGGATTAAATGTCTATCTTTGAGACTAAAAACTAACTTTGTTTTTGCCCTCCTGCAAAACATCCTGTGATGGACATTCGTCCCTTAGTCAGATTATCCGTGATATAGTGTATGCTGGTGTATGCAAACAACTATACCGGACACAACTTGCAGTGTTTTGGGATTGGCCGCCCCTTCACCCGTAAGGCGCCATAACCCCTGGGGTATGCAGAAGTTTACAATCCTGCAACCTGTAGTACATATCCTTCCTGAAACACACGGTACAGTACAAGCTGCATCGTGCATCGTTTTTGTATGCGGCTGAACGGTATAGTCTGTGTGGGGGTCGATGTCAGGCCGCGGTAAACTATGGGCGCGTTTACTACTGGTCGATAGTCGTTCTGTCATTAGAAGGGGCGGCGAAGGTAGGGGAAGGGGATGTCGTCAGTCACCACCGACGCTGTCAAGGGAACCTACCGACCGTCCTCCTGCAATTTCACCATACAATTTCCCCCCTTCTTTTTACCTCTGCTGTCTCCAGCAGTGTAAGGGGGCACATTCCCGCCCCACATCCCCCCTCCCCTCCTCCTCTGTCTGGACCCCCCTGGACCAACGTCGGGAATGCGGCAGAATAACCTTTTTGCTCTCCGCCTCCAGCAGCAGCAGCCGCCGCCGCAGCAGCAGCAGCCTCTCCCGCCGGGGAATTCGAGGCACGCGCAAGGACAGGGAGAAATCACATCACACCGGACAAGACTGTTCAAAGTAATCATTAGGCAGGACCAGGCAGGGCCGCTCTTGGCCCGGGCCAGGGGCTCTGACTCACGCGCCAGAGTTATCGCGAACGGCACTTATCGAGCATTTATCGGACTGTTGTGATGCCGTTTGGTGTCAAGTCTTATTTGCACGATAAACCGCGCGCGCGCTTCAAACTCTCCCGCGCCTGTATAATCAGGATCAGGGGACGCCGCGTTGGCACCACGTGTGGCCACCGTTGCCAAAAAAAAGCGTCGAAAAAGTGGAATCTGACGAAAGAAAGCAAAGAGAACTGTACGAAAAACTTCCAACAACAGCTGGTGCAGCATCAACAATCTGTGCGGGCCACGTCTAGGCCGGCCATTGGTGGCAGTCACAGCTGTGCGAGTCGATATGGTCAAAGTTCGTCCATAGGAAGGAAGAGAAGGGGGGTGAGATGGTTAGTGGGCAATCAGATCAGGGCTCCGTAACTTATCATAACACGAACGAATGTAAGTTACACAATGTAACAAAACACGTGTCAAATTAAAAGTTAAAGTTATAGATTTTGAAATATGTCCGATATTAATGGCACATGCTGTGCGAAAAACTTGGACAAGTTCAAGTTCAATTACTAACTTTTCCAAAGGACTAAAGTAAAAGTTACAAGTTATAACTTTAACTCTTAAAATAGCGTTAAAGGCAGTTAAGTAATAAGTTACGGACCCCCTTCCGTAAAAAAATTTTTTTTTTAAAAAGTTTCAAAAAACAGGGGGGGGGGGGGGGGGAGGATCTAGCTGCTCACTATCTACATAATTAGGCTTGAGAGCATGCATTCCTCATGAGGCTTATTGATCGAGATTCGGAAGAGAGATTGAAACTTGGCATCTGATCACCTGGTGGGCTAGGACTTGATTTGCAATGGCATACGAGGGGCGCGGCCAAGTGCAAGCATGGTCCCGGATGGTCCCGGATAGTCCCGGATGGTCGCCCCTCCAAAGAGCATACGTACGTCCTGACTGTTCTACCGCGTGGGTACATATTGAAGACGTGGCGATGAGTGGCGCGTAGGGTCCCGCTTGTCTATAGGCGCTCGGGCCGCGGGGGCTTGCACCGGTGTGACTCACGAGCCGCCCAACCCCGCCTCGCCTCGCCCCGCCCCGCCCCGCCACGGCGGCGTCCTTACGCCCGTGTCGTCTGCCTGCATTCCATTCGTAAAGCCCCGCGCGCTCCTCGCGGCATGTCGCGTTCACTATCATATCGGTGTATGACAACAACTGCCTGCGGTACGCATCCGCACTGCGACATTTCGGAAAAGCTTGTAAGTTCAACATCAGCAACGACACATAGAAACTGTACATTGATTTTGGTCAGTGTAGCAGCTGCTCGGTGTTCAATAAAAAATGATCGGTCACATTGGTTTTCAATCGTTTCCCGGACAGTAGCTACAAAAATTTGGTTTTATTTTGGATCTTGATTCGATACATTATACCCGTATTTATTATGCTCCAATGTAAGTCGGACGGCTTGGGTTGGCCCGTCTAAAAATGGTCGTGACGTGACGCTGCGCGGCGTGGCGTGGCGGGGCGCAGGGGCCCCCGTGTGTACAAGACACAGGTGCGACCAGCAGCGGCCTCGCGCGGCGCTGATAACATTTTGGTTAGAATGCAACATTCAAATAGACTTGCATGCAGTGTGTCAAGTTACGCAAGCACCCCCCAAACGCATCAGACTAATAAGTTCAAATTGTTCGAAAGGACAAGTGGTCAGGAATTGAGTTCACGCACTTGGTGTGATGGGAAAAGTATACAAGCAGGAAGCAACCAAAGCTGCCATCTCAAACATGCAATAACACGAGAGGTGTCAGGAAGCACTGGTTCTAAGTTTTTTTCAAGTCTGCTTTTACCTCTAACGACATACACTTGAAACACGAAGGGGAACTCAGAATTTTTTTTAAAATACTATCCAAGCACTCCTTTCTTTTTGAGATGCTAAATTTCAACTTACTGAAGCCTTAATTAGCGCAAAGCTTTTTTGTGTTTCTGTGAGCGAACGTAGGATGCCCTCCAAAACTCCCCCGTTTGCGCAACAACACTAACGTACGCACTTGTTCGGCTCCTGAGCCCCATCCCGCGGCAGGAAGAAGAAAACAACATACAGCCAGCAGCAAAACGGAGAGATCGAGGTCAATAAAACGATTCTCGACCACGCTATATAGCGCCAGGCTAGCAGCGCCTCTGAGCCCCGCCTGCCTCACGTGCGTGATGAGCACGCGTTAGCGCCGCGGGGTGGGGGTGAGCGGAGGGCGGAGGTGTGCCCCCTCAAAGTGATTAGGAGGGGAGGGACACCGCCAAAGCACCGCCCCGACTGGCGCCGCTCTGGCGCAGTGAAAAGCCCCTCACCCCATCACCTCAACCTCACCCCAACCCCATAGCGCCCAGCCCAACGCCCTAGCGCGACCCTGTGCAGCCAATTGCCTACCTGGCCGGAGGCGGGCGTCGCCTACTGCCCCTACAGTTTCCAATCGCTATTTGGGTGTCGACTGTTTTCCTAAGTTCTTTTGAAATGCCCTAAAACAAACTAAATACCTTTAGTTGAAATTATTGAACGCATGGAGAGTTGCGATTCCGCAGAGCAGGACCAGACTACCCATTATTATGGTGCAGCAAGCGGGCCACCTTCGGGAGGGGGAAGGGGAGGGGGGGGGGGCGCAGGCAGATACCGAGGGAGGAGAAGTGGTGGGGGAGATTGCATGCAGTTCTACCAATACTCAGCGCTACCGCTGCACACTTTTGCTGAAATCACTGAAACTTTCTGGGAACTCGCTCCAAAATTGCGCCTTTGGCTTAATCTGTAAAGTTGCTGAGATATACAAACAAATCAGGCCAGGTCTATAAAATTTCATCTCCTTCACGATGTTGAATTTCTTGCATTTTTCTACCCAGTTACTTATCAATCGCTCCAATGAGCAACCATAACTGTGCCTGAGCGTCGTGTTGCATCATAGACTTTGGTTCATTGCATCAGAAGGTTTGAAACTCGGTTTGAAATAAACATCAGATTGTCGCTCTAAAAACTGGGAGCAAATGTAAGAATCAAAGTGCAGACGGCAATGGGGCGCAGAATAAAGTACGTGAGCATGTACTCGTAAAATAATGCGAGCTAAACTGCCAAAAGTAGTTCCCATGCCGGGAATCGAACCCGGGCCTCCTGGGTGAAAGCCAGAAATCCTAACCACTAGACCACATGGGACGGTTGAAAGAGGGGGCACCGCGTACGCTAGTCTATGGGCAGCGCCGGCGGCCGGCGGTGGTGGGGGAACGCACCGGTGCGCGCGCGGGCCGGCTGCGCACTCTGTCGGCCGCTCGCGGAAGCTCACCTCCCCCTTCTCTTTCTCTTCCGTCTCCCCCCC